CCCCCAAGTTTTATTGCGTTCTGCAACTACCCCACTACAAACCCAACCCTAAATGATCACATAAATTTACGTTGCGGTTCACTGAAATGCTACGCTGGAATGTTTACATCAAAATTTATCTCCGAAGGACAAATTTTCATAAATTCCACCCTCTACACAATTCAAAAAAACTTAAAAAATAAAAGAAAAACATTTTTAACAATTTTCTTTAAAATTTGCTAAAAATAATTGAATTGATTTGAAATTATCCAGAAAAATAATTTGTAGTCTTGTGTGTAGATAAACTAACCAGAGGGTGGTGACGAAAGGGGCGGTTCAGTTTGGCGACCGCAGTCTTGGGTCTGGTCTTGGGTTCTTCGCGATGCTTATCAGTATGCGGCACGTTGTAAACAGCAAGCGTGACCGAAATGTAAACGGTGCACGCGAAACCGAGCGTGAGCATACGGTCCGCGCGCGCCCCCTAACCTGATTACACAAAGAGAAAATAGACGAAACGAAAAACGGCCGCGTTTTTTTTCCCGGGCGTCTTTTATTTTCCACCAGCAGCCACACCGCTGACAGGAAAACGCCGACGGCGGCACTAACAAGTTTTTCACGTTCTCCACGTGTGCTTATTTAGCCTAAAAACAACGCACAACTTTTAACCGCTCTAACTAGACGAGAAACTGTAAAGAAAATTTGTTAAACAATCGACACATTAACACAACACGCTAAAAGTTGTTTTATTTACAAACAAAAACTTTAAAAAATTTAAAACGAAGCTTGGTTAACCCAGTTTTAAAGTATAAAAAGTCTTTTATCATTTCTTATATATCTCACATGATAATGATGATTGACATCGTAAAAAGTCAGCTAGTTTTCTGTATGTCTAGGTGTACGGTTTTTTCATCCCTTACGGCGGTATTTGTAGTAGAGACATTCTTTTGGATAAAGCGCAAAGTTGGTGCTTGCGCGAAACGTGCGCTTCGAGGCCGACAACGCAGTTACGCCGCTAATTATCCTGGCTTTTTATTAAACACCGCAAAAAGCTCAACGCGCCCGGCGCCGCCACCATCGCCATCAAAACGCGTAACAGCGTAAAACCGCGTTCGCAGCACTTTTCGTTTGGTTAGTAAATTACACCACAATTTATCAACCTACTTTCGCGTTACTTTATATGAAGAAATTTAGATTTTATCAAATACTTCAATAATTACACGAGAAAAATAAAAATTTAGTTTGTGTGTGGTTTAATATTTGAATTTACTTACGCGCGGTGGTTTAATTCTCGGCTAATTAGCGAAAAGCGCAAGTGGCGACGGCCGGCGCATTAATCCTTGTTAAAAATGACAAATTGCCTAAATCGCTTGCCCCCTTAATGAGAATATTGTTTTCCTGTTATAATTCATCTGCAAACACTGGCCAGACTTATCTGCAAAACACAAAAAAAGCTCTTAAAAGCTGACTAAAGATAAAAATATTATTTCTTTACGTTTTGTGCAAATTATATCAAAATGCTTCGCAGGTGATTGAAGTGACGTTAAAAGCTCGCAAGCTCGAAAGCTCGCGATGTGGTAAGATAATAAAATTTACGATTTTGCGTGACTTAATGGTGACGTTTGTTTCCTGCCATGCTAATACGCTTGATATTTATCACCAGAGAGCTTTCCACACAAGCACAAAAGCTTTCATCAAGTGCGTAAAGGTCTAGAGCAATATACGTAAGCGTA